TAGAAAATTATCCTGCTGCTTCCTGGCGTCAAACGTGTTGTCGATTCCAGCTTTGTTCCACCGCTGCGTTGCTTGGTTACCCGATTATTACCCAACGATACTATTTAAGGGTTTAATCTCAGCTTTAACCACTGACTTTGATATTAACTTCGGTCAACAGGTGGAGTCGGATGCCTCGATAAAAGTTTGTTTCTTACGTCGTATATTCGATTAGCAGGGGAAAAAGAAGAACAAAAAGAACGAAAGAATGTTTGATTGGCAAAGAGAACGAAAGAGCATGTAGTTGGTTTAGTTTGTCGCCAAGAAACAGTATGTACAGGAGAAGTTCCAAAGAAGGTCCATTCCCAGGATAAAATTACTCGGTATTTACACATGAAAGAGGCGTAAGAACAGCATTGAAAATTACATCCCCGCCAGTTATTTGAAAAAAAAAAAGAAAAAAAGAAAACGTTCACAGCGTGTCTCCAAATAGATGGCACTCTTGTTTAGAACTTTTGTGCTTCGACTTGAAAAGCGATGTAAAACACATTTTTCCGCACAGGAGCCAAAGTGATCAACTTCATTTCGAATAAAGTGATTAATATTCGATATATTAAAAAAACAGAGGACTTATTCTCAAATGGAGAATAGTACAGACAATTGCTATTAAATTTGAAAATAAAAGTAATTGTTTGTAATAATCATTTTCCTTTATGTAACTTGTCGAGTTGATCAACGTGGCTTCTGAACGTCTCGAATAACACCTAACAGTTCCCAAAGTTCTTACGAAATTTCCAAGCATTGAAATTCACTGCTCGCTCGTAGATACATATGTACATTTCGGTCATGGAATTCTGAACGAGCGAGAAATACCAAATTTAGGAACTGCTGATGCAATCTGTTCATTAACGCTGTACGCCACTGCCGGTTACACGCTGTTACATCACTCAGCAATTCAGTAATTAGGTGGACTAAAACCAAGTGTCTGCATCATGCCAATCAGCCATTAAAAATATTACTTTGGTAAGCCAGCGATTTACATCCTGGGAGAAAGATCTCGACGATGTTAGAAGTTATCGTGTAGGGCGTAAGGAGAAAAAAAAAAAAAAAAAGAAAAAGAAGAAGAAATATTCCTTAACTTGATAGAGAAAATTCGGAACGTTCAATCGAATAACTATATATTCTGTAATGATGTATTTTCGTAATAATTGAAACTGTTTGGAAATAGAGAATCGAAACAAACGTCGTGTAAATAATTAATGTTATTGTTATTTTATGCTCCAATATTGAACTTTTAGACTTTTGCTAATTTTAAGTATCCAAAGGGTTAATGTAAGAATTAACGCTTTAAAGGCTCGCTGAATTTTACAAAACAATGTCAAGTCTCCTCTTTTTATTTTATTATTTTACTACTTAATCTGTTATTTTTTTTACTTGTCGGGAAAAGAACTTCCATTTTTATATATGTAATAAGAAATTATAGATATAAAATTTAACTACGAAATTCATATCGCATTTGCACAATATAACAAACTCTTTAGCTGAACCTTGAAGAGTTATTTATTAATCATAATTATAACAATACATTGTTATATTAGAAAAATTCTCAGATTAATAAAAAAAAAAA